GACTAGTAGAACCCTTTCCGCCCTTCCCCAAGGTCTTAGGTACAAGGCCCCCGGGCATCATAGAACCTCTGCACGCCACTGGCTGTATGGATTTTACATCAAAGTGTTGCAACCTAATTGTTATGGTGATTTAATGTGCAGTTACTCCTATAATCTGACTGATGGTGGTGTTTATTTACACATATACACTGGGTTCAGTTGACAAGGACAGCACCCTTCTACTATTTCAACACCGGTTGACAGCGAGGACTTTTACTGTTTGTTTGCTCTCAACTGAATATCTGTTTTGTTCCTAGCATTTCAAAGTCTTTGTTTTTGATAAAATGTATGGTGGAAGAGAAAGAGCAGAGTTGTAAACCCGATCGTATAAATTCTTTAGATGTTGCTACTAGTCCAGTTTGGTTGTCATTTTATGGAATATGTCGACACTAAGATCCAAGAATACCCGGCTGCTGTCAATTGACTTGTACCGTAGCGCCTTTACTGCAGGATGCACATGCTCTTCTCCGCTGTATTGATCCATAGGGTGTGCAGCAGAGAAAACCTCTTGGTTGATTGGATATTTGCCACCGTGAGGTCATCAACGGTTAGTGACGTCAGGTGTAAGATGAAGCTTCCGCTCCCATAGTGGAAGACATTTTGGACTTGTCGGCTTGCAAAGGAGATATAGTTCTGTGTGTAGCCCTTTAAAACCCTGAGTAAGTTGAACAGATGTTTTATCTGGCCTGATACAGCTTATTTTTGCGTATATCTATATATATCTGTATTCAAGATACTAGCAAAAGATTCTGTTTCTCTCCTTTATATTATCTAGAAGCTGAAGACAATGGAAAATACCTTCTTGATTCGGGAATATTGATATCCCACCACTAGGATTCCCTCATTTTTCTTTTAGAAAATTTGGTAGGTATATTCATCTGCTTAGATATCTTTGCATGTATTTATCATTTGTAAGTTATTGCCGTAGTGAAAGCTGTTAAAGAGTCTTAACGTTTACTTCTAGTGCAGTTGGACGTGAATATAATTCAATAGGATTGTCTTAGGAGAACTTAACCAGCATATTGGTGTGGCTCTGTGTAATTCTAACAGTGATTTACTATATGAAGTCCAGCCCTATTTTTTTTTTTTAAGGATCTTCGATGTTATTTAAGATATTCTTAACACTTCTCAGTTTAAGGCATTTACAGGTGAGAGAGGCCATAGTTCTTAAATACACACACATATATATATAAACAACGAAAGAACATGGCCTAACTAGGAGATTTTTAGACAGTAAAATCGAATAACCGTCTACCGGCGCCTGCATTACGTACACGTCTGAACCAGTATGTATGTGTATATGAAGCAGAAGTCAATTGGTACTCCAGTTCACATGTAATTCGAGACTTACGTATATGAACGTATGTTAGAAAGGTTTGTCAGGTTAGGTCACAATAACTGGTTTTAAGTGTTCTTTAAATAGAACAATAGTTGTGTGAATTGAAGCTTCTGATTTAAAGGTTGGTCTAAATGTCCTCATTTCGCGTTTTGATTATTTTTTTCTCTCTCTCTTTCATCGGTCTCCCAGTGGGTCAGCTGTAAGTTTATAGACTTACAACGCTAAAATTAGGGGTTCGATTTCCCGTAGTGAAAAGAGCTCAGATTGTCTCTTGTGTGGCTTTGCGCTAAAAAACAAATTTTCACATCGAGGATATGTAGGCCACTTAATTTACATAAGTATTTTGGTTTTCTGATATTATGCTATGCCACCTGTTGGTTGTTTTTAACACTAGACCAGCTGGCGATTGTTTACTCAATTAATTATTTTGGCAATACGTCAAAAGTAATTTTATTTCACATCTTTGGGCCGGGCGTGCCGGATTGAATCTGAGGGTTTCTTGGATCGCAAAATCACACTCTGCACTTTAGGGCCGTGTGTGTGTTATAAGAAGGACAGTCAAATCCCACTATTTGATTAGAGTTAGCGGTGGGCGCTATTGACGAACTTTCTTCCCTCTAGTCTGTCAGTTCTAAATTAGAGACGTCTGGCGTCTATAACCCTTATGTAATCCTTGCGCCATTATCCAAAGAAAAATGTCATTTGACCTCTACGTCCGATAGCGCAATTCACCAGAACTAATGTTTTCAAATTCATTTAGCTGTTAGGCGCAAAGAAAACTTTTAATATGATTTACTATATTAACATCCACATCGTCGAGATGTGTTAATGGACAAAACACAATGAAGACTAGGAAATAAGAAAAGTAAATGTAAAGAACGAGTTAGTGACAAAAAGGGCAGCCTCAGCAGAAGAGACGGCGATAATTTTTAGTGGTAGTTGTTTCAGCGTAAAATGGGGCTTTGTAACTTCAGTGGATTAACAGATGATGAAAGGGTGTGTTAAAGGTTTGAGGAGAGAGGGGCTCGAAACTTGGTTACGGTTTCAAAGCAGAACAAGAAAACTAAAAGAGCGTGAAATTGGTTTAAAGATTATAAAATAAGAAGTAGGGAAGAAAGAAATATAACCGTGAAACCTGAGTGTTCTAGTGCAATTTATAAAAACCTAAACCTGAAATATGGAAGACTTAATTTAAAATATAGCACTAAAAACCATCAAATCTTTAGAAACTTAAGACTAGAGTTTAAATAGACGACGAATCTAATGCTGGGATTATACACCCATAGTTTCCATTCCCTTTGGGCCGGACGTGGTTTAGTGGTCAACAAGCCAGACTTTAGATCCTTGGGTACATTATCAGCACTTTGTGGCTGTGGGTGCATAATAAGAGTGGCGGTTAAATCACAATATTCGATATGATTCGGCAGTGGGTGCTGTTTTTAGATCCTTGGGTACATTATCAGCACTTTGTGGCTGTGGGTGCATAATAAGAGTGACGGTTAAATCACAATATTCGATTTGATTCGGCAGTGGGTGCTGTTTTCTAGGCCTTGTTCAAAATTAGGACGGCTAGCGCAGATAGCCCTTGTGTAGCTTGGCGTGAATATTCGAAAATAGATCAAATTTATCCAATCTCTTTACTTACAGTAAAAACTGTATTTACGCAGACCTGTGGTGTTAAATTTTACTTTATGATCACGCAGATACCTGAGAACCAGCTAAGGCAATATTGAAGTTTTTTTTTTGTGTATAAGCCATTCTAATAAGTTCTGTAGAACAAGGATAACGAGCTGATGGATAGATTAAATTTTAGTGGCAGTAAATATGGTACAAATTTTAATTTACGTTTTGCTTTTTGGCTTACTCTCAGATCGATAGGGAGAAGGAACACCCCTCATCTTCGGTAAACAAGAGCTTGATGAAGGGGTTGTGTAGTTCAAAGTGTCTAATTAGTAGGACTGATCCGAAACAAAAGACAAAACAGACAGACAAACAATTTAGAAGGTTGTTTCTCACTGGAAGTTGGTTTATAAAACACCAGCAGTTTCAACGTTTTAACTCGACTCCACAAAGAATCTGCTAACTATTTACAGAAACACGCAAAAACCTATTGGATCAGCACTTAATACCCTCTTTCACGGCCTCTAAATAAAGCACGTATTTTAAACATTGGAAATTGACGCACTACTTGGTGGATTTCGAAGTAATATTATATTTGACTTCCATTATATTTTGTCTTCTATGTTCAGTAGGTTAATAGTCCACTACTCTAAATTGAGCATGTGGGTATCGTGTTAATAATGGAGCAGGAGGGTATCTGGGCGGTGAAGGAAACTTAATGGTCTAACAGTAAGGGGGTTAGTAGGTTAACTGATGCAGAGTTAACAATAAGGAGTGTAGTAGGTTAACTGATGCAGAGTTGGCAATAAAGAGTGTAGTAGGTTAACTGATGCAGAGTTAACAATAAGGATTGTAGTAGGTTAACTGATGCAGAGTTAACAATAAGGATTGTAGTAGGTTAACTGATGCAGAGTTAACAATAAGGATTGTAGTAGGTTAACTGATGCAGAGTTAACAATAAGGAGTGTAGTAGGTTAACTGATGCAGAGTTAACAATAAGGAGTGTAGTAGGTTAACTGATGCAGAGTTGGCAATAAAGAGTGTAGTAGGTTAACTGATGCAGAGTTAACAATAAGGAGTGTAGTAGGTTAACTGATGCAGAGTTAACAATAAGGAGTGTAGTAGGTTAACTGATGCAGAGTTAGCAATAATGAGTGTAGTAGGTTAACTGATGCAGAGTTAACAATAATGAGTGTAGTAGGTTAACTGATGCAGAGTTAACAATAATGAGTGTAGTAGGTTAACTGATGCAGAGTTAACAATAATGAGTGTAGTAGGTTAACTGATGCAGAGTTAACAATAAGGAGTGTAGTAGGTTAAATGGTGCAGAGTTAATAGAGAGTACAGTAGGTTAACTAACAAAGAATTAACAACGAAAAGTGTAGCATGTTAACTAATACAAAGTGACACATTTCACAAAAAGCACCGTATTGATATACCGTTTGTTAGATACCCAGCTTTTTATTTACTTCTTCCTGTAAATTAGAATTAAAAATGGATATTATTAAAAAAATAAAGAGAAAGGAAATATCTCTAAAAAAGCTATTTTCCCAGTGACACTCAGAATAACGAAAAGAGTTTACGAAGAACTGTGGATTCCACAAAAATTCTACAATTGTGCGTATGGTTGACAAAACTTTAAAGTTTTTGAGAAGAAATTTTTCTTTACTACGTTGCCAACTGATGACAGTTAACATGGCATATGATTCATTGATATTTAAAATGTCACGTATAAATTTGGCAGCGTGAAAACGTACAATTGTCTCACCCATTTTTCACCTGTGTTGGATTGTTAGCGGACATCAATCAGGAGTAGGATCACTTTTCACCCATGTTGAATTGTTAGCGGACATCAATCAGAAGTAGGATCACTTTTCACCCGTGTTGGATTGTTAGCGGACATCAATCAGAAGTAGGATCACTTTTCACCCATGTTGAATTGTTAGCGGACATCAATCAGAAGTAGGATAACTTTTCACCTGTGTTGGATTGTTAGCGGACATCAATCAGAAGTAGAATTTTTTCCACCATTATCTCTCTCTGGAAAGTAATCATTCAGAGATACTTTTCTAATTGCTTAGTGGTTTTTAGTGTTCGATCCAACATCACCAAAAGTGGATGGTTTCGAAAGTACAATTTTTATTCAGTTTTTTGATGTTTCTTAAACGGTATCATATGAAAGTGAATTTTTTTTTCTGTTACCTTTTGGTGTCTTAATTAATATGAATTATTATATGATCTTTCTGATTAATATCACTAGTAAGTTTTTCTTACTCAATTTCTTGGTGTCTGGATTCTGATTAATATCACTAGTAAGTTTTTTTTACTCAACTTCTTGGTGTCTGGATTCTGATTAATATCACTAGTAAGTATTTTTTTACTCAACTTCTTGGTGTCTGGATTCTGATTAATATCACTAGTAAGTATTTTTTTACTCAACTTCTTGGTGTCTGGATTCTGATTAATATCACTGGTAAGTTTTTCTTACTCAACTTCTTGGTGTCTGGATTCTGATTAATATCACTAGTAAGTTTTTCTTACTCAACTTCTTGGTGTCTGGATTCTGACTAATATCACTAGTAAGTTTTTCTTACTTAACTTCTTGATGTCTGGATTCTGATTGATATCACTAGTAAGTTTTTTCTTACTCAACTTCTTGGTGTCTGGATTCTGATTAATATCGCTAGTAAGTTTTTTCTTTACTCAACTTCTTGGTGTCTGGATTCTGATTAATATCGCTAGTAAGTTTTTCTTACTCAACTTCTTGGTGTTTGGATTTTGGGGAATAATGATTTGTTTAACCATTTGTTTACTTGATTCCACTGTCCAACTTTATGTCACGATGTCTGTTGCACATTCGGACATTCCCTTTTTCATAACTTTTTATGAATTCTGATTTATATTAGTATAAAGTATGTCTTCTCCAACCTCTCAGTATTTTAAGCCACAGACGTTGTTGTTGGAATGTGTTTTTTTTTTGTCTAATTTCTTATTAAATTAATCGTTGCTATTATTACTGGAAAGTTGTTTAATTTCCAGCCTCTTAGCGGCTTGTCTGAAGTTATGTAGGATTACTCATGCAAAAACAAAACCACAAAAGTCAAAACAGGTTTAATAGTACTTTTTGTTTAAGTTTGGAGTATCTGTGCTAACCTTCGATAATTAGTTTGTTGTCGATAGTGGAGTTAAATAAAAATAAATAAACGGGAGGTAGGCTTCAGACAATTTACTGGGTATGTAAGTGAAGGAAGGTATATGTGATTTACATTAACTTAATCTCTTGTTGACATTGGTTGTTTTCGCGAATTTTATAATTCACGAAGCCAGCTAATTGGGAAAAAAATTCTGTGTATGAACCCCAAAATAGGTATTGAAATATATTTTTTTTAAAACGATAAGAAGGTGAGTTAATAAAATCGAACTTGTTTCATATTTTACATCAAAGGACAATTATTAGTGTACTTATACGATTATTGGTGTGCAGTGAAGGTCCTCGCTTGTATGCTATATGCAGTTCGGGCCCAACATGGTCAGGTGGTTAGGGCACTCGACTCGCAATCTGAGGGT